CCCTGCTGCCATCCATCACACAGCAACAGAATGTAACGGAAAACTGTCAGAAAGGTTCATTCTCTACTGCCATACCACCAACACCTGCCTCTGAGGTTGTGGGGGCAACATAATAAATAGGAGGCACTAATTTCAGAGCAGCATATACAGACACACACATGCATACATACATATAAAAGAGAGAGAGTAAACAAAACAGAGAGAATTGAACACGGGATGTAACTCAACCAAACTCCTTGAAGTGTCTGTCTTTGGTATTCATAGGCTGCTGACTATATTATGTCTCTCCTGGCTGTACATGAGTTTAGGTTGATCAACACGGATATAGAAGTCAATACAGCTAGATGATTTGTTTCCTTTGTATATAATTTATTCATTTGACTTGTAAATTTGCAGACTATGACATAGCTCATGGCAGACTTATTTCAGACCCTATGCACTTTAAGTGTCCCTTCCACAACTATCTGTGATCAACCCATCATCAGCTAAACTTTCACAAGGCAATAACGGTGTCACTTAGCCCTTTTACTTACCTTCACTAAATAGTAATCAACTGCTTTTATGTTAATGTTCACTTCCTGACAGTACATGCTTTGTAAGTATATTTCATCCCATTCAGTTCATGGGGTTCCTGGCTCCTTAATACACTGCTGCAACTCCAAAGGTGAACTTCACACTTATTCTGCCCTCTGACCATTAAAAGCCTCTCATTCTGGTACAGTTCATCTTGTTGGAATCCATACATTTACATACCAGAGCAAACTAAGCTTCAATGTTTCACTGCAGTTTCAACTTGGAAATTAATAGTTACTTGGCCAAGTTAAGGTTAAGTGGAAAAATTAACTTCAGGATTTAGCTCAGATCTAATTTCCATTTTTTGTTTGCTGAAAGTAATTACACTTAAAATTTTAGGAACTCACATTCAAGAAGTAACAATTTCTTTCAATTCATTTTGATAACAATATCATAATTAACTGAGATGAATTTGCTAGAGAACCATTCAACCATGCATACAGTAATAATCAGCATGTTAATACTTGCACTGACTTCTATTTTGCAAAACTCATTTTGTTTGGGAATAAAATGTGACAGATGGATCAAAACAAACGATTTAAGTGTCAGAAATTTCAAGTCATGACAGAATTCTATGGATCAGCCTAGAAAAGCTCCCTAAAGACAGAAAATTTAGCAGAAACAGCTCTGGAAATCTTAAAATAATAAACAACAACAAAAAAAAAACCAAACAAAAAAAAAAAAACAAAAAAAACACAACAGAACTAGCTGATAGCTACTTATGAGAAAAACTCTGATTCTTAGGTAATTACACATGGCTTTCTTTTTAATGACAAATCCACTATTGCATTTCCATTCTTACAAATGAAAGTCACAAGAGAACAAGAAGATGTTTTAAAAACAGAGTATATGAAAACCTGGGGAGATGTCCACATCCCAAGGAACCACAAATCACTAATTAAATTAATAAGAATACTACAAACTGTCTTAACTTCTAATTATGAAGCAAATAGCCCTGCTAAAGATATGCTGATGACAACAGTGAATGGAGTGCTCAAATTAACTATTTTTAATCCCCGTTCTTAGTAAGTATTCATTAAACAGAAAAAAAAGTTGAGTATACACCTCAACAATTTCAAAGTCATCTTAAGTAACTTGGAAACTACACCACTATGCAACCTACATGAAGAATGGAAGAAACCACTTCTATTGCGTCAGGGATTTAATGTGCCATTGTCCTCAATTTTCCTCTTAACAAGGTTATTTAATTTGTGGCTGGAGATAAAAACAGTTTGAAGTGTTATCATTAACATAATTAATCCCATCTCGTTCTCCAAGAAGCGTACATCTGACATATGGGATCTGTACATGTTAACTTTGTCATTCTTTTTTACTCCATAATAACCTCTGAAAGTCTTCCAAAACTCCAATAATGGAAATGCCACTGTAAAAATGTTAGCTGCTAAGAAACAGTAGACCATACAGTTTAAAAAGCACTTGGAGGCTATCCTTACCATTTACTTTTAAGGTACAGCAGCCTGGAAAGGTGGGGCAAACAAAAATCCCATGAAATTCAACAAGGAGAAATGAACAGTCTTGTACCTAGACAGGAACAGCTCCAGGCACTAGCACTTGTTGGTAGCCACCCAGCTGGAAAGTGGCTCTGCAGAAAGGTACCTGGGGGTCCTGGTGGACATTAAGCTGAATGCGAGTCAGCAAGGTGCATTCACCTTTACAAAGGTGAATGGCACTCTTGACTGTATTAGCCAAAAGCCAGCCAAGAAAGGCAGGTCAAAAGAGGTGATACTTCCCCTCTACTCCATTGGTGAGGCTGTCCCTGGGTACTGCCTTCAGTTCTGGAAATCCCAATACAAGGGAGACATGGACATAATCAAGATTGCCTTACATAAGGCCACCAAAATGATCAAGGAAGCACATTTCCTATCAGGAGAGGGGGAGAAAATTGGACTGGAGGAGTTTCAGGCATCTAATCAATGCATATAAGTACCTGAAGGGAGGGTACAAAGAGGATGGAGCCAGGCTCTTTTCAATGGTGCCCGGACAAGAGGCAATGGGCAAAAACTGGAACACAGGAGGTTCTGTCTCTAAACATCAGGAAGTACTTCTATACTGAGAGAGTGCCTGAGCCTGGGTTGCCCAGAGAGGTTGTGGAGCCTCCTCCTTGAAGATCTTGCAAAGTCACCTGGACGGTGACCTGCTCTGGGTGTCTGCCTGAGCAGGGGTTGGAACAGATAGACCCAGAGATTTTTTCCTACCTAGCCATTCTGTGACTTTGATATAAGACATGCTGAATCACAAAAAAGTTACTGTAACAAAAATTTCAAATAGAACAAAAGCAAAACATTTATCAGAGAGTTCTGACTGATGTAGGCCTGTCTTTTCCTCCAATTCTTTAAAGTCTTAAAGTTGCCTAAATTGCATCCTGTTGTGAAAGGACAGGATGACTTACAGTTACAGAGCTTTATCAAGAGTGAACATTGAAGTTCTTACTTTTTCATATGTAATTTTGAGTTTTTAAAATAATGAGTGACACATGAGAAACAGCAGTATCTCTGTGCTAATGTCAACAGCCTTTAGTAAAGGGACTGATGTTAAAGTCCCATTTAGCATCACATTAATCCATAATCTATTCACCGCAGTAGTATCGCACTTAGTAGAAGCAGAGAAAAACAAAAAGCAGAACTATCATTCAGAGTTCCATTACCTTTAATAGCAACAGAAAGGAGTGTTGCAAACTTCAGTTAAGCACATATGCCTGCAAGTATTTATTTCTTTATTTATTTTGAAATTCTCTACACGAAATTTTTTTCCTCACAAATTACTATTACGCATTTCTTCTTGGGAGCTTCATTTTACTCTCAGGTCTTTGGGAGCAGTTGGTAGACCTGATGAATGTAGCATTTTAATGACACAAGTGGTAAAGATTCAGGACTTCTATTAAAAGTTAAGACTGGTAATAGAGAAATTACTTGAAGAGGGAACTTCAAATGCTTCCATGAATCAAATTCAGCAGTAAGAATTAGGGAACATTTACAGAATGAACATTCTTCCTACTGCTGCTGCTTTAGTTGTGCAGCACCCATCCACTGCATTCTTTCACACCACAAGAAATTGAACTCCTCTAGTACAGGATATGGAACTACATGTCATTGATCAAGTGCCAAAACATGAGAAGTGTAGAATGGTATTTAGGCAATCCCCAGCATTACAATCAGTTGTTTATAGCTCATCTGATCTATCTCAGCATCAAGAACATTGCTGGCCAAGAAGAAAATGCCTTGATACTGAAGTCAACCTATAATTCTGCTTTTTTTTTTTTTTTTTTTTAAATTTTTGACTGTAAATTGACCATTTAATATTGGACTTTTTTCAACTCTGTTCACCTATTCTATTCTTCTACTTTGGAAACAAAAATGGAGACCTTAATACAGTGTCAGTCAGCAACCTGCACTCCTACTCTTGTTGAAGCTCTGGTTTCTGTCCCCCCCCTGAAATTTTTAGGTGTACCTTCCCTGCTCAGAGCTCCAGTGACACATTTGATTACACACGACATCGGAAGGAGAAAACTTAACCAGGGACTAGGATTAGTTCTGGCAACAGGAACTTCTATATTTGTTTCTTGTCCTCTTATATCTCTCAGCAGAGCTCCATCAGCTAGAATTTGTGAACCTGCTGAACATGTTAGAGACGAGAGGATATTGTGATTCTCTGCATGCTTCCTTCTGCCTCTCTTTTTTCTACCTTCTGATCTTTACTCCTCTATTTGCTTATTTGATTTCTTCCATATTATTTAATTTTCCTCTGATCTCCTCTTCCATCTCCATACTCCTTCAAGGAGCATGGGCAGGAGGGGAATTGCATTAAGAAAGTGTTGAGGCTGTCCGTACAATAGGAGATCTGCAAAAACAGCAGCCAGAGGTGGTGGAAGACAAGACCCCAGCCATGAGCCACCAGTGGCGTACAGAGCTACAGGACTAGGAGGTTAGGCTGCATCATACCTCTCACCTACCATGGTATTGCAGTAGACTCTACATAGCACCACAGCCACACCCAACAACAAGCTTGTCTGATAAAGGACAAGCTACATACTTCCGTCAGCATTTCTCTTTATCACATAGAAAATCCTCTGTCTCATGCAGTCCAAACACACTAAGTTTTCCCTACTTGTCTTGGTTCCAGCACTATCTCTACAAGTGCAAATGCTACAGACATAGACACACAACTGGAATACTTAAATAGAAAGCCATTAATACTATAGTATTCTACTGAAAAGGTTTTATAACAGTTAAACTTGAGTAGCTTGAGGTTTTCCATTATACTGATATTTTGCTATTTTCTTCTTCTGGAAAACAAGAAATAAATGCAGCAGTTTCTCTTGACATATGTAGGAGAAAAAAAGGGATTTTAAATAACTGCAAGAAACTCTTCTCAAATTACTCAAAGTAAATGGTTAGAAAGCCACTTACCCCCAGTTGCCACTGTAATCTCACGTAGAAAATGGCCATAAAATGGAAAATCAAAGGACAGATTCACTCTCTGAAAGGAATAACACCAGAAAATAAAATCAATATTGTGCAGAAAACAAAATGAAGAGTCCTCCACTTCAAATACCTATTTCAATCATTGCTTTTGATTTTTTACTGAAGCCTCATTATTCTAAATTTGAAATTGGCAATAGCTAACTAGGAACAATTCTGGCACTTAAAAACCTGAAAGCAGCGAAGATTCAAAACTGAAGACTTTAGAAAATAAAACAGACATAATAACTACTTCATGAGAATGAAATTAGAAAGATGCGTTGATTTTAAAATTATTTTTAAACCTCTTTGCTAAGAAGAGCCATCGCTATACAAGTCTTGCAGAATGCCTGATCCCTTTGGCAGCAGGTGGTTTACTCCTCAGCCACATGCTCCTTCAGATTCAGATGCTCTCCCTGACACCTTGCTGCTACCTGGTTGTTTATCTGATGAAAAGTGGAAAAGAGTTTCCTCATCAACTTCGCAGACCTGCTTACTAACAAGGACCTGAAATTATTTATAAAGAAACAAAGCAACAACAGTACTAGCAAACTTACCGCAAAATAATAAAAAAAAAAGAAGGGGGAGGGGGGAAAGGAACTTCATTCCTCTGTCAATCTATCCTGTATCAGCTGACATCATAGCAGAGAACTGTGATTTAGAGATTTAGAGAACAGATTTCTCCTCACCTAAGGTCTTCATAAAGTACCATTCAAATTCACACTTATTTTCCGTCTCCGCTTTCTCCTTTCTCATCTATTCTACTGCTCTCCCAAAACTTGTTAGCTTCTGTAGCCACTCAATTACCACTTGGTGTTCTATGTACTTCAACTATGAGCATACCAGCAGTCTTGACAGAAAGAACTGCTGAACTTCTACTAAGTTGTTTTCATGGCTTAAATATTATATCCCATAGAAAGATACCACTTGCATAGTGGCCTGTGGCTCTTTACTATTTGGCATTTAAAAGGAGTTACTACAGAAAAAGTGTTGTGAAAAAGCATTGTTGTTGACTGTCCCTCATCCCTAAGCTTTCATGTGTCCACTTAAGAAAGGGAAATAGTCAATAATTTATTAAAATTAAAGAAAAAAAACACACACAAAAAAACAAAAAACAAGACAAAGTAACTACTATCTTAGGGTTTTTTTTTTTAAATAATAATAATAGAGTATTTATTATCGCAGTAAGAATTATATTTACATCTACCAGAAACATTTACAGAATTATTTAGTAGAAATTAACAGCTGAAGATTTACAGCAACTTTAAACCAGATTTTCTTTCCACTTAAATAGAAGATAGTATTTTGACAAGATTAGCCTCTTTTTCAAAAATAAGAATACAGAATTAATTTGCATTGTGTTAACTGGAATGAGTAGTTTTTAATGACATCTTTTGTAAGTATGTAAATATGTATACATAACCAAATATTTAATCACAATGGTATACACAAAAGAAAACAAAACAAAAAAGAAAATTGAAATTAAAACACATTCTGAAGTTTTCATTACTGGGAAGTTGTATGCTATGTTCATTTATATGTTCCACTCAGATTATGTCCTTGCTTTTCCTCACATAATTTCCACGATCATGTTAAAAATGACCAGAACTTCTCTCTATCCTTTAAACAGTATTATCCCTTTTCTTCTATTAGCATTAACCCTCTGAATAACACAATAAACATTAAAATGCTTTTAAGGGAGCACAGTTGTCTTTCACAGTCCTCTAAATGGCTGTAAAGATATTAGCATAACGATAATGTTTGTAATAGATAAAGACTTGAGCCTATGCCCACTCAAATCAGATATAGATCTCCCATTGATTTCAATCAAAAACTAATGCCCTAAATTATAACAACATAATAGGTACTTAGTATAGACAATTAAATAATGTAATAGAGTATTAAAGAACTAACAAGATTTGAGGAATATTTTACAGATTAATATTTAACAGCTACTTGCTATAGGGAGAGTAAATCAAAGCCCTCATGCTCAGGAGTCTGAGGTACTAGGTTCCCCTCTACCATGCTCCACATCAATCCCACATCCTGCCCAGAAGCATTACTTCATTTTAAACCTCTAGAATGATAGTTGAACAAAAGATCCTTCTTGGAATTAACATTCTGAAGCAAGGAATCTCATGAACCAAGTGGAAACAAAAATGCTTAGAAAGAGAGTGCGGAGGGAGTTATCTTCAGTAATTATTAACACAAGTTAAAATTTAGGTCCCAGGCCTGATAATTAATATATATATATTTAAGCTTGAACAGGTATTTTTTAACTCCTGTATTTTTTTTTTAATTTTTTTTTTTTTTTTTTTTTTTTGCATGTTTCCATTCTATCTCTCAAGTACCAGAATCCCAGGTGACAAAAAGCAAGGTCTTGGGACACTTTTTGGTACCTTTCTCTGTTCAGTCACCACCCTTTAAAAACAAACTGTCTTAGAAAATACCTAAGTTAGTGTGTTATTAAATCTACTCCAAAGATACATAATTCCCTAAGCCCTTCATTTGTATTATCCCTGGCTTCTTCCAGTCTTTTATACTGTGAGGAAATTTTATGATTTGGGCTCTCTGTTACACAAATTCTAACCTAGTCTGCTTTTTTGTGTTCAGAATTAAATACTGGGGTATTTCTTCTTGCTGTCACTTACATCCCCCTGAGACAGTCACCTGGCTAGTACCAGGGATATAACAGAAAACAGTTTCAAAGCTGAGAAAAAAATCAAATTAAATTCCTGTTTCTGCTCAGTTTAATACCACTATATGTTGAAACAAGCAAACAGACAAAAAACAACTCCCAAAAACAGCAACAAATGATACACTCTTTTCTATATTTATTTGTTATTGGCATGGATCACATGTATTGCTTCTGTTTCTATCTGTCATATGAATGATTTTTATAAATTCTCATAGTAGAAAAAGTTAGTGAAACATGTCATACAAAATGGAAGTGTCAACACAAATACATTCAATGGAAGATGTAAAATTTCAGCAATTTATTTCTCAGCCCAGTTCTGTCTCTAATGAAAATAACAGTAACATCTCTGACTTCAGCAATGTAACTAGTTCACTGTTAGATAGTTCGAGATCTAAGCTTAAAAACAATACATATATAAATATATCTTAAAGGCATTTCTGAAGGACTTTTACATCAAGTACAAAAACACAACTTGAAATCTTTTGATAGCAACACTGTTCAGAATTTTAACTAAAATTCAAAAATGAAGTTCTAAACAGGAGTATTTTGATACTTAGCACTGTTTTATCACTCACAGCTGAAAGACATCCATGTCAGTAAAAAAGAGTATTACAACTTACTGCTGCTTGTCGATGGGTATTGGAGAGGATCCCGTGAATCTTTACTTTGTCTTTCTCCATTTGGTCTATATTGACCCACAAATCCCGGCTGGTAGAATCATATGGGCCATATGTCCTTGAAGTATAATAATTATGATCTGTATCCTCCTAAAAGGGGAGGGGGGGAACACAGCAAATAAAGATCAGAATGAAAAATGCATCTTAGTGTTATATAAAATTCATACTTGAAATACAGAGTTCTGCTGCTACTCAGAGTGCAGAAAAATTGCGAGTGGTCAAGAACAAAACTACAAATTACAAATGTGTTACAGAATATATTTCTGCCTCCAACCAAGAGCATTTGGCAAGGTAAATACATACCATAATTTTCTCCATCTCCAAATCCTAACCATACCATTCCTGTAACCACACAGTGAAATCTACAGCAAAATTTATGACTGCTTTCAAAGTGAGGTGACTATTAAGCTCATGTAACAACTACCATATAATAACAAAATGGTAAGTAGTACTCAGAGCCAACACCTTAAGAAGAATTTTAAGTTTTCTAAATGCAATTCATTAGAATAGCCTTTTAGGGAGCATCTATAACATTCCTAATAGCTATCGTTTTACAACAGTTTCACTTTAAATCTCCAAAACATTATTTTAAGGTACATTTGCCATTCAGAGAGAATTTGCCATCCATACATAATATTTATGGAAATTTTTTTGCAGTCTTTAAAATGACAGCGGTTGCTGCCATGTCCATGTCACAGCAAATTCAGAGAGAAAATATACAAATCCGACATGTAATACGTGAGATTGTTCTAGTGGTTCACGAAATTCTGCAGCCAGAATATGTATCCAGCTCAGCAATCAAGTTCATGGTTCAGGTGACAGTCAAAGTCTTGGCAATATCTGGCTATTTTTGATGACAAAGCTGAGATGCCAACACTCAAAATAATCTGCATGCCATTCCACTGCAATCAGTTTTCACTCTAAATCATGCAAATCACTGGCTCTTATTTAGCACAAAAAAGTGAATTTCTGAAATCTTTTATAGAAAAATGACTACATGCCTAAAAATCCAAGCATAGGAGATTCTGAAAATTTCTGTCAAAGTCAGAATTTGGATATGCTGAGATTATCCAAACTACTTAAAAATTAGTCTTTAAATAAATTATTATTTTTTAAATACCACAGATAAACAAATGTAGAGAGCTATACAGGAAAAAAAAAGCAGAAACAGTTCTTCCATATAGAGTATGCATCTGTGTGAAGAAGTAGCTTACAATGGAAGCCAACGTACAAGCCTTCATCTTTTTTTTTTTTTTAAATAAAGGAAAAAAAAAAAAACAAAAAACAACAAGAATAAAGGAGACCATTCAGAAAGGGTAAGAAGTGATCTTGCAGCAAAGAAATAAACAACAGTGCCCAAAGTACAACAAACATTTCCAAGACCTATTTTTGTAATCAAGTAGCCATACAGGACAATAGCCCTCCTTTAAGATTGTTCCGCAAGCAAAACATTATTTAAAGGCTGGTTATTGCCAACTCTCTCTGCTGAAGAAAACTAATATTACAGGTTGGAAAGCAGCATCTGTGGATATTTTACCCTAGCTACTGACTCCCAATAACTTGGTAATCAGCAGAAAGACAGAGACCATCATAGCTGTTGATTCCCAGTAGGAATAGCTACAATCATCTCTACTTTTCTGAATATCTAAAACCGTGAAAACAAATAAAAATCCGAGGTTAGAGATTAAACCTCAGGATTCATCTTTAAAGTCAACTTTTTCCTCATCCAAAGTTATTAACTGTGAAATATTTAAATCAAAATGTTGTCAGTTTTCTGCTACAAAAATTATTGCAAATTTACAATGTGACTAGAAAAAACTAGAATAAAGTTGGCCTGAGCAGCTTAAGATCCTTTGGTACACTGAAGAACAGTGATTTTTCCAGTCTTCATATTTTTGAATATGCATTACTGTGGAAATGAAATCACAGGATTGTTCCACAAATTTGCCAGTTATAAATAAATGCTTTATTGGTAAGAATAGATACTGAAGAGTCTTCATTCTGACAGATCTGTTTAAGGAGTTTGGTTCATTCTACCTGTTTCACAATATACTCCACGAACTGAAGAAAATTAAAATGTTTAGAAATGAAATGAAGCAGAAACATATTAACATATGAAAAAAATAAGCAGGGAGAAAGCAGACAACATGCCCATTACTATTTTAAGAAGCAACAGAAAATTAATTAAGTAGCTGATGTTTAAATACAAAGTTTTGGATTCTTTTTTTCCTTCCCATTCTCCCCCCCCTTACTTTCCAGGTACTTTTGGGAAATAAGAATAATTTCCATTTACTCCTCTGTAAGTACAGTTTGGCCCAACTACTGAACATAGACGAAATAAGAAGCACGTCTATTCTATTGAGAAGTACAGCTTTTACAGCAGCAGATTTTCCAAGATTTTTTGTACCAACTATGAGAATTTATTGTTGTCAACCTTCGTTTGAAGGTTGATTTGAAGGGAATACTTATTATTATGGGAAAATAAATTATTTTTTACCTGAAGCAATCCTCAGTGCTGAGCTGCCATTTTACTGTGCTTGTAAAGAAAATATTTTCTTACTGTTTTTATGAGGTAAATTTTCTGATGACATATTGAATATTTTCATACTCTTCTCACTACAATTAGTGTGATATTAGAATAAGTGTTCTCATGTGTGCTGTGTGCATACATTGCTCATGAGAGCTCAGCACAGCTGAAGATTAAGCCTTCTTTACACTTTTGGTGTTCATTACTTGTCAAATTCTTATTAGACATCCATTCCATAAGTCACTCTGAAATACAGTCCAAATGTCACAAGGCTGTTTCTCAACAACTGCTCTCCCTTAACAAGTAATGACTTCAAATATGCTAGGTGTGCTCTCAACCTAGGAAGTATGATGTAACTGTGTGAGCTGCATTATGCTCCAAGATGCATTCAAACTTCTAGCTGGGATACTAGCCAAATGCATATGTGCAAATAACACTGAAAAAAAAAAAACCATGAAACAAAGTTATCTCACACTGAGATAAGGCATCATGATTCAATGATGATGCAATCTCATACGTGAAGGGAAAATTAACTTTGAGAGTCCCATGCTTACATATGCTCCTTAATTTAGGTTAGGAATAAGAGCTTCTGTCAAATTTATATGAAAGAATGTTCTTCTTTCAAGTAATTTTTTCAATTCCATCCAAAACGCAGACAATAATGAATGCAGTTTTACCACCTATAAGGCTGTATTTGAAACAAAGCAGTGAAAAAAACTTCTGGCATCCAGTGATGAACTCTGCTGCTGCACAACACTACACTGTAGAGAAACCATTAGTTTCTCTGTAAGAAAGATATCACCAGAGCAAATTACTATAGACCACGCAGACAGACGGCAGTTAGATTTCAACAGCTTTAGTTTTGGTCACTTTCTCCCAGTCCTTGCATCCACTGAATATTACATAGCATTAAAATCATGGAATTATTAAGGTTGGAAAAGAGCCTAAGATCACCTAGTCCAGTCATCCACCTATCTCCACCATGCCCACTAACCATGTCCCCTCAGTGCCACATTCATGTGTTTCTTGAACACCTCCAGGGACAGTGACTTCACCACCTCCCTGGGCAGCCTGACTGCTCTTTCTGAATAGCTCACACAACACTTAACTTATCACTGTATTTACTTTAAAAGTTAAATAATGGGCTTTGACGAGAAAAAAGAAAATAAAATTCCAGGACATGAATCTTCAAATAGTTGGAAATAGATGTTATGAATTGTTGCTAATTGAAGACAATTAGACTGCATGTCTAAGAATAGGCAACTGTTCTTTTAAGTATTCTAAGTATTGAAATGGTATTGTCAGATTTCCATTGAGGCGACACATCAATGAAGGAACTCTGAAGCCATCAGGAATATGAAGTTAAGATTTATAGATGCTTAATTTTGTCAGTGAAAAAAGAGGAACTGGTGTATGATTTTTTTAAAGAAAATAATTATCGCCCAATTATTGCTAAAATTGCAGACTATGCGTACTTTTTAATGAAATTAAAGTGCTTCTTTTTTTCTGCTCCAAAAAATCAGTAGTGAGGAAATTCATCATCAAACAGTGTGTTCACAAAGTTGACTTTAATTCTGATGTTATTGAGCATTTATAGAGGAATAGCTTATGAAATTAATCTGTAATTGTCTAATTATGTTTTCTAAAAGCTGTATTTGCACAATAAATTGGAAACTCTGGAAGGAGAAAACAGGTAATTATGTATTAAAAATAGAACATTTTTCAGGGAGAGAACAAAGAAAATAAAATATAGATTGGGAAATTTAGAAAGAAGAAATGAGTTAGCAATTTCAAGTATTTCCCTAATGAAGAAAAGTAGACCTAGTAATTCATTTCATGGAAGAATAAAAAAAAAAAAAAAAACAAACAAAAAAACACCTTTTCTATTAAAACAAGCCAGCAGCAAGATAATCCTACAAGCAGACAACAAAACCAGTTTCCTCAACTGGTTATTTGTACCCAGCCTCACTCAGCACTAGTTATTTCCTTACTTCCTCTCTGTATCATAGCCTGTAACAACAGTAAACTAAAGCCATAATTAATTGCTGAACATTTTTGAATTTTTAATAGAAAATTGATCTTATCATTCTGCATGTTATTAGCAGCCATCAGACAAAAACAGTGCAAGAGAGCAGCATGGAAATGACACCTGATGTTGGACTCTAGAATCATAGACTGTTTTGAGTTGGAAGGGACCTTTAAGATCTTCTAGTTCCAACCCCTCTGCTATTGGGAGGGATACCTCCCTCAAGACCAAACTGCTCAAAGCTCCACCCAGCCCAGCCTTGAATATTTCCAGGGAAAGGGCATCCACAACCTCTCTGGGCAGACTGTTCCAGTCTCCAACCACCTTTGCAGTAAAGAATTTCTTCTTGATTTCTAGTCTAAATCTAACCTCTTCCAATTTAGAACCAATTCCCCTCATCCTGTTGCTACATGCCCTTATAAAAAGTCCCTTCCCAGCTTTCCTGTTGGCCCCCTTCAAGTACTGGAAGCACTATAAGGTCTCCTTAGAGCCTCTCTTCCGTAGGCTGAAGAACCCCATTTCTCTCAGCCTGTCCCA